GCACTCCGATTGGTATCACGCTTCAAAGGTCCATTTTTTATACCTTAGCATCATTTGATAGACATTGACTCTTATATTTTCCATCTAAGCATATGTGCAAGCTACAATCCAAACTCTTAGCACATATGTAGGGGGAGCAATTGCTACCATATGGGATTCATGAAACTTGTCAATATTCTTTTACACATGGTAAATATGTTTGGACAAGCAACATGGATTCAGTTAAATTTCAATTCATATCTTTGTGAAAGGGTTGTCATCAATTACTAAAAAGGGAGAGATTGAAAGCTCTAGTTTGGTTTTGGTAAATTGATGAAACCCTAAGTGCTAACCTAGTTTATCAAGTGATCATGAGATAGGTAGCACGTTTCAAGTGGTGAAGCAAATGAAGATCATAGCATGATGATGATGATGGCATGGTGATGATCAAGTGCTTCGACTTGGAAACAAGAAAGAGAAAAAAGGCTCAAGGCAAAGGTATAAATTATAGGAGTTATTTTGTTTTGGTGATCAAGACATTTAGAGAGTGTGATCACATTTAGGTTTGATAGCCGTACTATTAAGAGGGATAAAACTCGTATTGAAATAAGGTTATCAAAGTGCTACTAGATGTTTTAACTCATTGCATATGCATTTAGGATCTAGTGGAGTGCTAACACCCTTGAAAATATTTGTGAAAGTATGCTAACACATGTGCACAAAGTGATATAGTTGGTGGTTGGCACATTTGAGCAAGGGTGAAGAAGATAGAAGTGAAAAGGAGTTAGTCACGCTGGTCACAAGGTGACCGGACGCTGGTCTCAGAAGGACCGGCGCGTCCGGTCAAACATGACAAACATAGACGCTGACTTTCGGTCAAACGACGGACGCCGAAGTCTCGAGACCGACCGAGACGACGTGGAAGGTTGCGTCTGGTCCCGGTGACTATGGCAAACCACAATGGTCGTGGTAATCGATCGGATCTTTGGCGAGTCCGGTCAAGCATGATCGGACATGTCCGGTCGAAAAAATTCGTTTTTGGAACCTTACTGGAAACGATCGGACGCTAGAGGCTAGAGGCCGAGCGTCCGGGTCGGTTTAGTCTGTGTGTCCGATCAACAGACGACCGTTGAAATCGGCGAAAACGATATTTGAAGTAGGGGACACGTGGCGTGAATCCGTGATCGGACGACGAGGGGCGGTCTCCGGTCGATTCACCGAGGCGTCTGGTCACCCGCGTTGTATCCGATAAAAAGGGTACAACGACTCTATTTCATAGGGGCTTCTATTTAAGCCTCATGGCGGGCTCAAGCATACTCTCTTGGCCATTTTGTATTGACATAGCAACCTTGTGAGCTTAGCCAAAGCCATCCCACTCATCCCCATCCTTAATTGATCATCTTTATGAGATTGGAAGAGAATACAAGTGCATTGCTTGAGTGTTTACATCTAGAGGCACTTAGTGTTCGTTGTTCATTCATGAGGATTCGCTTGTTACTCTTGGTGGTTGCCGCCACCTAGGCGCCTGGAGAAGCAATGAGGATCGTCGAAGCGGAGGGTGGTGATTGTCTCCAGCTCTGATCATGGTGATTGTGAGGGGTTCTTGACCTTTTCTCGTGGAGGCGTCAAAAGGTACTCTAGTGGATTGCTCGTGGCTTGTGTGATCCTCATCTTGTGTTGGTTATACGGCATCCTATTGAGGATTTGGCGTGTGATGCCAATTAGCGCGTGAACCTTCAAGTGAGTGAATCGCCACAACGAGGAGTAGCTTGCCGGCAAGCAAGTGAACCTCGGTAAAAAATTATTGTGTTCATCCTTTAATTCCGAGGTGATTGGTCTTCATTGTTATTCACTCTTGTGATTGATTGGTTCATTTCTCGACACGATAGTATAAACATATTGCTCACTCTCCTTATATTACCGCAAACTAGTTGTCAAGCTCTTTAGTGTAACTAGTTGTGAAAGCTTGTTAGTTTGGTTAGTGTGGCTTTTTAGTTAGACTTTGAGAGTACAGTAACTTAGTGTAGTGGTATAACTATTGTATGGATAGAAACTATATAAACTAGAATTGTGATAGGTGGTTTGCATTTTTAGTAGGCTAGCGCAACACTTGCTTCGACTCATAATTGTCTAACCGGTTTGTTAAGTGTTGTTGTAGAAATTTTTAATAAGGCTATTCACCCCCTCTAGCCATTAGGACCTTTCAACCAACAACGCGACCACACCAACGTTGGCTACACTCTCAATGTGTTGCCTATAAATTCGAAGAGACAGAGACGTCCGATGGATCCTTACACTCCTAGGATTTAGTTGATTATATCGAACTTGTATCGAACGAATATTGTCGTTCGAAACTTGTAGACTTAGTTGGTTATGTCGAACCAATGAAAATGTTATGAGGCAACTTATCAACTTGCGCACGGACTCTATTTATTTGCTTCATATTCGTTTCAATGTGTCGCGGCACTTGTTGTTCAGCTCCCGTTCAATTGTAATTGAGGCTGGTCGGCTTCTGTCTGCGTCCAGGTCCTGCCGCGCCGTGGGCCTTGCGCGTTAGTGTCACGCCGTGGGCTATGGCGCGTCAGTGTCGCGCCAAGATCGGTGGTGCGGCAGAATCTGCCACGTCACCGGTCAGCGCCCCGGTTGTCGCCACGTCATCTCCCTCTCCGCGCCACCATGCATAGCGCGGCATATGTGTTTCGCTGCGCCAGGGAAATAAACGCGGTAAAAAAGTGTTAGTTTTGGAGAAAAAAATAAATTAGATTTAAAATTAGTTTAAAAAGTGTTAAAAATAAAAAAAAAAAAGCCCTCCTGCAGCTGCCGCGCCCCGTCGCCCGCTCCGCATCCTCGACTCGCTCCCGCAGCAGCTCGCCGCCGTACGGAACCTCAGGTGCCCCGTCACCACGGTCGCCCCCGCGCCCCCCGCGTCAGTCCGGACATCGGCGGCCTCGGCTCGGGTGGCGTACCGACGCGGGGCTTGGCGGCCCGCCGGGGACCAGTCGCCACTCAGCGTCGGCGGCTCCGGTGCACCGGCAGACCGGTCTGGCCTGCCCTAGCGCCCGCCGGCCGCCACCCGCGGTCCCGCATCGCCGCCGGCGCCTGCAGGTACGCGCAGCCGCAGCGGCGCAGAGCGAATCTCCGGCACGGCGACCCAGCCCCTCTACGGCTCCACCCCCAACCGACTAGCCTCCTGCCTCCATAGCCCGGCGCCTCCAACCTCCTGCCACATCGTCGGCGGCCCCTTCCCCCTCGAGTCGTATGAGCCGGACACGGTCCACGGCGTGGCCAGCCCCTCGCCTCGATCCACCCAGTCAGTGAGGTGATCCCCGCCTCCCCACCTCACTCCTCTCGAGTCCATCATTCTTGCTTCTCTCCGTCTCATACTCTGATCTACTGATTTTGTACTGCTACTCTGCAGTTTCCGTTGAGGGGGAATCTGCTTGCCATTGAATGATTGTGTCAGATTAGGTGCACGGATAGACAGACAACAGTTCTACTCGGGGCATTTACATATTTACCATTATTACGGATGACATCTTACACATCTTACACTGTGTCACTAACACATAAGTCATTGATATGGTATTTTTTATACCACTCACATCGTCATGATGGTAAATATGTAAAATTTCCGTTCTACTCAGGGAGGTGACATCTGATTTTACTGGGCCAGTATTTGTTTCACTCAGTCCTTATACATTACCATAATCAACGTTTTGCAAGGCATACTATACAAAGCCATTATTTATCTGATTAGCATTCCTCAGGTTTTGTTGCCTCGATGGACCAGGAAACAAATCCGGATATTGACCATTACATATGTATTTGTTGTATATTTTTGTAATCTAACATCTTAATGTTGCTGTCCTTACAATGTGATCCGTATTATGTTTTGATCAGGCTGGGAATTCTAAAATCATGATACTAAAACTGAGATCATCTTGAATCACCGTCATCTTTTTTGAAATCGCAGAAGCACACCAGACATATAGTTGCAAAGGTAGTTCACAATGCATTGATCCTCACCTTGCATCCATCATGGCAACAGATTTCCTCATCCTTCCCAACAAACTTCAGGTACTCAATGCCATTTCCATCTTACTCGGTCTGGTCATTTCCCCTTATCTACATGTATGTTTTTCCCTTATCTACATGTATGTTTATATATCCCTATGTTCACTTATGATTTGACCAGTGCAATGCATATTCCCTTTGCTTTGTGTCCTACTGTCCTTCAATCACCTGCTGAAAAGGATGCCTTGGTGTCTGATCAACCGCATGCCGCTTCTGTGATTTATTTATGCCTTTTTTTTCTCTCCTTCTATGGTCTGATGAGGCAGATGCCTTGAAACTGAAAACAATCAGCTGATCTTGCCTACATCTGTCTTCAGATACTCACGCGACGTGTCTGCTTTTTTTGGGGAGTACCTGACCTTGATTTATAACTGCAGTCTATGGGTCATTGGAACACAGATTAGAAATGGATGATGTGGAGCCATCTCCTGACGAAAGCAAAACACCATGGCTGAA